TATTTCATAAAATCTTTCTAAAATATAAATATATTCATGAATCATAGTTTTTGATATATTTCCTGAAATGTTTATGATTCTACAATATTTCTAAAATATTTTTGTGAAATATTTCAATGGAATATTCTAAAACGTTTTACAAATGTTAACGAAATATTTTTTTAATATTTTACTGAAATATTTCCAAAAATGATTCATAAAAATATTTCAAAATATTTCATGCTGTGTGAGACGCATTCAACTGAGTTATGACTTCACAAGTTAGAATTATCTGAGAATCGGTATAAATGGAAAGCAACTTATGAATACGAGGCGTTTTTCAAAACGGGCTAATATTAAAGAGTCTGTGAAGCTAGCACCCCTAAATGCGAATTTTGACAAAATCTACATTGTATTTGATTGTCCACATTTGTCCATAAAAAAAAACTTTTGTCCACCCTTGAAAAAAAATTATAAATAAATAAAAAATTGTAGCACCCCCTCCCTCCCTATGTGTATCTTCTGCGGAATTACATATGGAATTCGATTGTCCACGCGTAATTGTCTATTGTTTATAACTTGGTTTTGTAAGGTGGACAAAAGACAATTACGCATGGATATACGCGTGCTCTCTCTCTCTCTCTCTCTCTCTCTCTCTCTCATGGTGGACAATCGAATCCCGTAAGTAATTCGGAAGAAGATACACATGGGGGGGGGGCTACAATTTTTCATTTATTTATAATTTTTTTTCGAGAGTGGACAAAAAATTTTTTTGGAAAATGTGGCAAATAGTGGACAATCGAATGCGATGTAGATTTTGTCAAAATTCACATTTAGGGATGTCAGTTTCACAGATCTATACTACATATATATAATATCTTATTTTCAACGAGTACGGTATATTCCTACGTCAATTATTTGCATTTTCTATTTATATTTTTAAGTAAAAAATTATAAGAATAATATTGACTTGATATTGCTTCTCACAAGTCGGAGTGCTTGATTATTGTGAATCTCCCTCGCCTCTTACAAATCAGAGTATTTGATTAATGTGAGTTCCCTCACCTCTCACAAATCGGGGTGCTTAAATCTTTAGAATCAAGTTAGCGACCTCAATAACTTTATAGCTCTTTTTTGTAAGAAGCAATCAAGTCAATATTATTCTTATAACTTTTTTTACTTAAAAATATACACAAAAATTGCAAATAATGATGTAAGAATGCACATACTCGTTGAAAATAAGATATCGTATTATAGTATTAGTCCGTTTTGAAAAATGACGCCTCTTAGAGGTGAAACAGTTCATTATAGGGGGTCATGCCTGTGGAGACTTTTTATCAAGACGATAAGATAATCCAGATAATATTTATGTTACATAAAAAATCTAAAAGACGTCTTTTAGATGTCTTACGTCTAAAACATGTCTAAAAGATGTCTTATACAACATACATGTTAAATGGGAACACATAAAATTTTTAGCCAATTCGACCGAAATTCAATTTTCATAAGATTTGTGCAAATTCTTTAATATACTGAGAGAAACTTTGAAAGCTGATACAATCTATAAATAACTTATTATGAAAACATTTCAAAAATAAAGCTTGCACAATCACTCAATAATGTTTGTTACAATAAGAGGGAAAACATTCTCATAATTATAAGCAATTAAGAACGCGCACATATTTAATTGCCTATTTTATATAAAATATAGCGAGTATTGTATGAGTGTTAATTATAGTGTATAAAAAGCAGGGCTGGGTATTTTTGCATTTAAAATGCCACTTAAAATGTAATTCTATTTAAAATGCTAAATGTAAAATACTTAAAAAAATGTATATTAAAATGTATGTAAGGAAAACCATTCTGTATTTGAAAACTATTTAAAATATCTATTTACCCATTTTACATATAAAGTGGATTCGAAAAACATTTTACATTTTAAATACATTTTTTTAAGTATTTTATATTTGGAATTTTAAATGATTACCTAATCCTGATAAAAAGTCGACTCACTTTCAAACGGCGGCTAAAACTTGTTGGAGATCACTCGGGATTATGATCTTGACAACATATGTCAAAGTCAAGTTCATGGGAGGGTCCCCTAATCTGAAGATTTACCATAAAATTTAATAAAAAATTATTTTACGATATTATTTTGCAAACAATTTAAAAATCAGAATTTAGTTCCAAATAAAATAAATTATTATTATTTAATCTAAAATACATTTTTTTATTAACCACAAAATTGAAGTATGTTTTACATATGACATTTAACATTCGTTATAAACATTATTTTGATACGCTTTTATTTTAACATGATTTCATTTGTTAAAGTAAAAAATATATTTCTGAACAAATATAAGAAAATATTACGTTATAAATAATAAAAATATTTTAAACATAAAATTTTTAAACATAAAATTATAAATAATAAAAATATTTTAAACATAAAATTTTCAATATAACTGTAGCATGACAGTGAGCGCTAAAGATGGAGAAACGTTGCTGAAAATTGCGAATTCTGTTTATTATAAATTTCCTTTCATGGAATAATCCATCTTTCATATAATAATTTCGTTTTATTAATTGGATATATTTAAAAACTGGACATGCAACTTGACTTGTCAACCGCGGACACCGGACAAGACTTCTGAAAACCAGATAGTTCAAATCAAAATCATTAGCAACCTTATAGCTTCTTAGTCTTTTGTTTCGTATAAAACAATATCATTGTACAGGAAGTATGTAACAACTCAAAGTAACAGGTTTCTGCGCTTTGAGAGAACTTTTTGCATCGTTTCAAAGAAGGTACGAAGCGTCGCGTCGAGCCGGATGAAATAAGTGAAAGAGGAAGTGAGTCATGTAGAGACGGGGAAGTAGATGCGAATAAGCGAGGAACTGTCCTACTTTCACAAAATAATACACAGGTATGTGCGCTCTTCTCGACATAAATTTCGATTGCGTATTCCAAGCGTTTTATCAAAAGCCACCACAAGTCGTCAACTTTTACGACCGTCGTATTGTGAATTACTGATCCATATATTTTCTCTTATTCTAGTTCATTTTTTAACATAATATAATAATGAACTATACACATATATGTATTTTATATATGCATACATATATAATACATATATAGTATATAATGTAGATGTACGTATACAGTGGCGTGCAAAAGTTTTCGACCAGTAACATTTTGTATTCTAATTTTAAAAAAAAAACCTGATAAAATTTTAATCATTGTCGGGTGTTAGTACAAGATTTTGTTACCCACATCTTGTACTAACACCCGATAACAATGATTAAAATTTTATCAGGCTTTTTTTTATAAATTAGAATACAAAATGTCACCGGAAACTTTTGCACGCCACTATATATAAAATGTACATGTATTTCTATAATATACGTAAATGTATACCTTTGTGTTATTTATAATATATCTATATATATGTGTATATAATTTTATATTGATTTCAAAAAATTTCACAAAATCTTGTAAAGCGGAGGAATAAATGTCAGAGCGTGATTCAAACTTGTTCGTCCACAAATCAAACGTGATCCCGCAGATTGAAAAGCGGAAGCCTTGTTTCCTTACATTTTTTTCTCTTGCTCTCTCTCCCCACCTTCTCTCTCCCTCCCTTTCCTTTCTCAGGCTCTCTCTCTTTCTCTCTGTGGAAACCAGTTCACGCGAAATGTACATCGCGAAGCTATTTTATCTTCCAACACCGCGATTTCACGGCCGTGTTCTAACCTTGGTAATTTAATGAGGGGGATAATTATATGTGGACGCTTGCGCGAGTTACTTGCAGCTCACATTAGCGTCGCGAGAATAGAAAACGATTTACCACCGTCATGGTTTTACTTGAAATTGTACTGCGGACATTATAACGGTATCCGGAAAATTGCTAGGTACGAGTTCCGATGCTTCCTACTTTGAGTTGTTTCACTCGAGTCTACCGAGAAATTCAAGCCTTTTGCGACGAACTGAAAAAGGGTGTACGAAATAAAACTTTTGATGCGAGACTGGTAAAAGATGATTCGTTTACATTAGAATCGCTCGTTCACATGGGAGTGAATGACGTGTCTGTTTCGCGATTAAAAAACAGGCGATTGCAATTATAATTTCGTAAATCATTTCCGGCGAGCGTATCGAATACAAATTAGATGTCTATTAAAAGATCACAGCGTAAAGTGCGTAACGCAAAGAAGACGCCGCGCCAAAAAAGATGATTAAAAATTATTTTCACAAATGAATCTCTTAAATATAAATGCATTTGTATATACATATGTACATTTATAAAATGTATATAGGATAATTTTATGTTATATATATAACATAAAATGCATTTATACATATATATACATATATATAAGATAATTTGAATTTATATATATTATACAATATATAAATAACATTATACATATATATGATTATATTTTATAAATACATATGTCGTGTATATACTCGAGAAAAAATGTTTCATATATAATTATATATAAAATTAACGTACTTTATATATAATTATATATATAATATGTCCATTATATAAAATTTTCTTTTCAGATAGAAAGTTTCAGAATACAAGTTTAATGTACATACATATTCATAAATATTATTATTATACACGGGGATAAACATGCCTTTTCGTGCTTTCTCATTCTTTCTCACGTCTCCCCTGATGTGCATGTAATTTCGGGTGTCAAGGCATTTGTGTTTCGATTTATATATATATATATTGTATATATATTAAAACAGTTCTATACTCGTTTTATGCACATAAATATATACAGAGATTTTACCTATATATATCAGATATATATATATATAAGACATACGTTATATGCATATTTTCTTTGTTCTTTCACAAAGCTGACCTTGTTTCAAAAAGCATCGATCGACACACTATTTTTTTCGGAGCACACACAAGAACTAGTTGTTACGAGAGTGACGTGCAACCCGGCGAACGATCGATACGGCGCGATTTCCGCGTGGAACAAAAAATAGAGACGCATTTACGTACTGGTACGAGCACGGCCGTTGAAGCAAGCTGCTTTTATGACCGCGGCAGTGCGCCGGCCAAGTGGTGGTTCTGTTTGTACTATGAACAGCTGAGGGAACAACGTGACCGTCATAACCGAAAGCTCGTCGACGACTGTCTCGTGCACAACTGGCGTTTCGCTTTCGCACTGCCGTCAGTCTGCCGAGCTGCGAGCCACGACGGATGCATCGTGGCTCGCTCTGGGCATTACAGCGATTCCACTAGACATACCTCACCGACACCGATTAAGTTCCACATAAATTAAAGAACGATTTTTATCGAGCCTCGATTAATTTAATTTCATATCACAAACAACAAAAGATTAATATATAATAATTCTATCGCTTGATAACTTAAAAATTTTATCCAAGTCAACCTAATTAATCCAGCGTTTTCCCGATTATAATAGACTTTTAGTGTGATTTTCTGTTACGCAGTAAATTACTCCCGTCGCAGGTGTTTTTTTTTTTGTTTTAATGTATTATTAGTGCAATTTTTTCTGCGCAATTGTCTAATACCGATACAGTAACGACAGCTATTTCTGTGATAGCCTTTGAAAATTTTTCTCAGAATTTTTCATATAATTTTTCAGAATTTCTATATAATTTTATAACTTTCTCACATTTTTTTATACGAATTG